AACCCCACTTATCCTAATATGTCTGCTGGAAGGAACTTGCCAATGCAAGAATTCTCTGCTGGCCCAGATAGTCTTCTACTTCAGCAATCCGGATATGCTGCTGAGAAGTCACGTTCACAGTTAAAAGCTTATATTGGTCACAGGGCAGAGGAGATGTATGTATACAGATCATTGCCTCTTGGGCAAGATCGCAGAAGAAATCGATACTGGCAATTTATGACAGCAGCTTCTCAAAATGATCCCGGCTCTGGCAGGATCTTCGTTGAGCTTCGTGATGGTCACTGGAGGCTAATTGATTCTGAAGAGGTATAATTGACTTTATGGGATTTAGCTTCTTTTGTAGATAAATCTTATGTAGACTCTGTGTGGGTGCATTATGTGCATGGATCACCTTCCCTTTGTGCTTATAGATGGTATGTTCCCCCCGGCCCTCCCCACGTCCCAAAGTTCTTTCTTTCTTTTTTTGGTTTTTATGTTCCTCCCCTTTTCTACTCTTATTGTGCATAAAAAGCTTTCTTTGCGATTTGGTATGTAGCAAAAGCCTATCATTATAAAATTGTGCCCTTTTCTGCTACTTCAGATGTTTCTAACCCTCTTGTTATGGAAGTTGCCGCTCCTCGATTGACATGGTGAAATTGGTGGTTTCCCCTTGTATTGTTACATCAGCTGATTCCTCAAGTTTTTGTATTAGCAGGATATCTAAGATCTAGCAGTTTGTTTTAAGGTTGTTGCATTCTAATTAAGGGTCCGTTTGGTATGAAAAAAAGGATGAAAAGTTGGAAGGATGAAAAGTTGGAAGGATGAAAAGTTAGAAGGCATATATTTTCTCTCATTATGTTTGGTATGATGAATGAAAAATTGAAGGGATGCATTTTTCTTTATTTGATATTGGATAGAAAATTGGATGGAAAGGAAAAATACATATACCGAATTTACCATTAGACCCTCACATCTAATTACACGAATAATATTAAAGAAAATAAACCAAAATGCATGATTTTTTTTTATAATTATATAATATTTAAACCCCATAAAGTTTATAAGTATATAATATTTAGACCCTTTTTTAAGTTTAAAATATTATAATTAGACAAAAAATACTTCAATCAAAGATGAAATATTAAATATTTCAAATTTTACGACCAAAATTCATGTTCTATTGTATCATTTATTGAAATAAAATTAAAAATAAAATTTACTTATAAAGAAATTCTTCATTTAATTATTTAATGTGTATCTAACTAGAAATTTTATGTATTTTCTTCATTATGTACATTTAAATATTAAATCTTCCATTACATATACAAAAGCAAACTTAATAAGTTAAGTTCTAATTATATTATGTGGTAAATACTAAATACTAAAAATTATATAATTAAAAAAATTAGACCTAAACGGTTTGAATTATGGGACTATTGGGAACCAAAAGAGAAGGAAAAAAAAGGGGAGGCAAATAAATTTTTAGGTCTCATTCTCTGAACATTGAAGCAGAGAGTGGTGGGTAAAATAGTCAATTCACAAAAAAGTCTATCTTCCCTCCATTTTTAGTCCATTTCCCCCCCATTTTTGGGGGAAAATGTTTGGTGGGCTCAAGGGAAAGCATTTCCCTTCCATTTTCCATTCCCTCCCATTTTCCGTCCATACTAAACAATGGAAAGATTTTCCTTCCCTCCCACTTTCCTTCCTTCATTTTCCATCCTTCCTATTTTCCCTACAACCAAACGGGGTAATCGTTGCCAAAAAATGATAAACTGGATGTGTCCTCAAGCGAAACGCCAAAGCCATTGATTGCTACAATGCTCAAATGCTTGGGCAGTCAATCACAAGAATGTGAGATGAAGTCTGGGAGTAGCTAAGTTTTTCATATACCGATATCTCCTAAAGCTCCCTATTGGTGGGACCAACACTGATAATGGGTTTTTATGGCTGTAAGGTGCAACTGGATGATACAACACAATTCTTTTTCATGGTGATACTCATGTGAATGTTTTGATTTTGATAGTTCTATTTGTTTGCTACATGTAGGCTTTCAATGCGCTGTTGGCATCTTTGGATGTACGTGGGATAAGGGAGTCCCATTTGCACTCAATGTTGCAAAGGATTGAAGTGGCTTTCAAGGAAAGTGTTAGAAGGAACTTGTTGCGGGCCTACAGTGGGGATAACCTTGGACATTCTAATACAACAGAAGCTTCTGAAATAGCTTTGAACCCTGACTGCAATTCCTGTATAGCTAGTCCCAGCATTACTGTTTTAAATTCTGGTATGCCAGAAGCCTCGTCAACTTTCAGTATTGGACTGGGGAGGAATGAAACAGAGAAAAATGATGCCTTCAAGAGATATCGAGATTTTGAAAAGTGGATGTGGGAAGAATGTTATAATTCTTCGATGTTATGTGCCATGAAGTATGGGAAGACCAGAAGCGAAAAATTATTCAGCATTTGCGACTACTGCCGAGATTTGTACTTGTTTGAGTATAACCACTGTCCTTCTTGCCATAGGACTTATGTCAGATCTGTCAGCGATGTAAATTTTTCTGAACATGTAGCTCAATGCAAAGAGAAACTGAAGGTGGATCCCAGTTGGACTCTGCATGGTCAGGATTCTTCCTCTCCTCTGAGAATCAGATTGCTCAAAGCACAATTGGTGTCAGTAGAGGTAAGAACATGTTTTTGCTTACATATATGCTTTACAACAGTCACTATCATATTCTACCCTTGATTGAAATAAAGATATTGATCTTCAGTCCTTAATATATTTTTTTGTAATTGTTCAGTGCACCTTTTATGGTAAATATTTATTGCCCTGGCAGGTTTCTGTTCCTGCAGAAGCTTTTCAGCCAGCTTGGTCAGAGGATTTTCGGAAATCCTGGGGTATAAAGCTGCTCTCTTCATCATCAGTCGAAGATCTTCTCCAGGTTGGTTGGTCTGTCTGTCTTGTCTGTCTGCCCCTCTCTCTCTCTCCCCCTGTTCTAACCAATATTTCTCCCCTTTTAAAAAGCACGTACCTTTCTCCATTGTGCTCCATGTTTACCTTGTTTATAGCACTTCATCAGGAGATGTAGCAGAATTCTGTGATGATTTTTAATTTCCTATATATATATAAAAGAAATAGAAAGACGTATACTAGAAACGACATCTGTTATGTCAATGACACCAAAGGGATATTAAATGAATGGATTTATGATATGGATGTAATATAATGAAATAAAGCCATTTTAAGGTTTCCGATCAAGGCATGGAAGGGAGCTTTTACGAAGAAGTTCTGGGAGTTACAAAGGAAGCCTTCAGCTCATAGTGGTCATGGTTTGAGAATGGGAATTGAACTCTATGCGATCAAATCTCCGGTTGTTCGTTGAAATTTATCTCCTAATCTTGTAAAGGGAAATATGATTTTTTGTTTTTCCAGGAAAATGTTCTCTTATTTATTGATAATTTCTGGAAAATACTGCAGTTTTTTTATTGAACGCTTTATACTCCACATCTAAGTCCACTTTCTTTCCTTTTTTTTTTTTTTTTCCTTTTACGTTTCTCTCTCCCCCCCCCTCTCGTGCGCACGCGGGGGGGGGGGGGAGTCCCTTTTTCTCTATATGAACGGCGATGTCTTCTTTCATTTTCCCCCTTTTGGAATATTCAACCACTTAGATGAATAGGCTGGAAAATTGTCCTCTTCAAGCCCATCTATGAACTGCTTGGGTACATGTTGATCCACATGGCTTCCTGTATCATTTCCTCCACTATTTCTAACCAGTATTTGATATCTATCATCAGTATTTCTGATTTTCACAGTTATTCATTCAGTCAGTAGCTGTATGATATTATGATGGTTTCCTGATGCAAGGAGACTTCATTTTCTTTATACTCTATTTGATATTAAAACAAAAATTCCAGATGAAGTTTCTCCAGAATGAAAATTCAAGTTGGAATTTGGTGAGGTTCGCAATCTGGTGCAATTAATGGGTCAGCCTAGTTTGATTTCACGGTGTTAACCTCAACTTAACTAGAGACAGTGGCAACCCTGGTTCATTTGTATCATAGCATGTCTTGAATGGTTTTTTTTGATTACAGTATGAATAGATGCATCTTCAGAATCTCAATAAAAGGGATCCATATTTTTAGTAATTTTTGGTGATCAACTTCAGGTTTGTTGTATGAAGGAGATTTGCTTCTCCCGATATTAGGAGCTAATGAAACAGAATAGTTTGAACTCCTGTGGCGAACGAACCATATTTCTTTTGATCCTTTTACTCTTTAGTTGCAGAGAGGCATCCTGGACTGGATATCAATAACCAATAGTTTTGAAATTTTGTGTGTCCCCTCTCCTTTTTCAATTTGTTTTCACCGAGTCTGAGGTTGTCTCATGGTTCTGTGATTGATAAAATCTTTTACACGTTTGTTGAATTACTTTTGGGGACTTATTCTTCCTTTTAATCCTGTGTGTGGAAATCGTCTCTATTTGGTGTCTGGAGACTTTCTTTTTCTTTTCAGTTTCTTGTGCTCTTTTCTTAAGTGGAGTTGATTAACTATTTCTTTGTTTATGCAGATTTTGACATTGTTGGAGGGTATCATAAAGAGGGATTTTTTGTTTTCAAATTATGAGACCACCAATGAATTGTTGGATTCTCATAACCTGATAGGAAGTGCTGCTAATAAGTTGTTCAGCCTTGAAACGGTACCTGTGCTTCCATGGGTACCTCAAACGACAGCTGCTGTGGCACTGAGGCTTATGGAACTTGATGCCTCCATTTATTACATGCCAGATCAGAAAGCAGAGTCTCAAAATGACAGAGGAGCTGGGGATTTCATAGTAAGTACAATTATTTCATGTAACAAAATAATGTGTTCTGCTAGCTAAAGAACATGAATTGAAGGGAAGCATTTGTTTTTGTGGTTTGTTTTTCTTTGTGTTTTTTTTTTGTAGGGTATACTCTTTTCCTATAACGTTAATAGCATTTATAATAACCTACATATTTGCTGTGGGTCACTTCTAATCTGTGAGCATTTCTTCATTTAAATGAAGGTGTCCATATTTTTGTTCCTCCTTGTAAGCTGCTTTCTCACTTTTTCCTGTATTCAGACACCACTGTCACAATATGCTGTTGTGAAGAATTTTCCGGAGGATGAACTGGCACAAGTTCCATATGGAGTTGGGTATTTGCCACAAGATCCTTTGATTGATCCAGGGACTGGACTAATTGGCTCTGGGCGAGGGCGAGGGCGGGGACGAGGCCGTGGTCGTACCCGTGGTGGGAGATCTCAGAGACGGGTCATTAGGTCGAGATCTGAAGCTGGCCAGAGAAGTTCCAGGACAAATAGCGAGAGATTTGGGCAATTGGTGGGGTGGAAAGGGCGAACACGTGGACGTGGAGGACGTAGGCAGGGTCGTCGGTCCATTAGAAGTAGACACAAGCCAGTGAAGAGGGTGGCAGAGATAGCTGGTGCTAGAGATGAAATTGAAGAGAATATTTTTGAGAAAACTCCTAGAAGTGCAAGTCCACAGGAGTGGATTGGGGAAGAAACCGCACAGATGCAAGTTGTGGGTGCTGAGAGTGTTAGCAGTTCAGAAAGATCGGATTATGATGAAGATAATGGTCATGCGACTGGAGATGAATATGATGATTTAATGGTGGATAACTATCCCAGTGTCCTTAACGGCCAGCCTGAGCTCTTCACGGAGGAGGGTGCCGATTATAATGTAGATGGTGAAGAAGACGAGGATGGTGGTGTCGACGAGGCAGACGATGATGACGAAGATGATGAGAATGGTGATGAGGATGACAATGGTGAGGGAGATGTAGATGTTCGAGGGTACTTTAATGGCGAGTCGGATGAAGAGGGGAACAAGGATATTGGTGGACAGCAAATGTGGAACCCAGATGATGTTACAGGATCTACATCGACAGATTACAGTGAATAACAAGTCATAAATTCAGAAAGATTGACAAACTGTATATCAAGTTTGAAGTCCTCTCAAAACCACTGGTACTACCTCTGTAATTTTTACACCTTATGTATTTATTGGGGATCTGTAATTACAGTGCGGATCACCTTAATGCACTGTGAATCATCTTTGAATGAAATTATCTTTGTTTATCTGAATTTGAGTATTAAGTTGTAAACAAAGTCTAGCCAAAATATGTAATATGGTGTTCTGAAATGACACTTTTCTTTTGCAGCAAACAAAATAAATATTGTAATGCCATCTTTGGACAGCAATTTTAATGGTCACGAAAGTAATCCTGTTTGCAATGGTTGTAGGAAATGGCAAGTTTCGAGCCTTCACCTGGTACCCGGAAAGGGCCTAATTATATCACCTGGTGTACATGGGTTGGTGGTACTCAAGTTTTGAGTTTTTTCACACCCTCAGCTACATTTCTTTTGTTTTTTTGTAGTTAACTAAACAGATGGTCCCTAGACTATATATAATATCTTTATATAACAAATGTGTATTTTACTTAACAAGTTATACGGGTATTTACGTATACGTCTACCGTTTAATACATATTATTAATTTCCGGTCCAAATGAGGTGGATTTTGTTGAATACTCATTTTTTTTTGGTCCACTGCGATCCCTACACGTGATGTGCACGTAAGACTTTTTGTTAAGTTAACAACGAATTTGGATGAAATGATGCCATTGAGTCAGATTACATTGTTGAGAGACTGTTTTGACATAAAATTAGTTTAGATGACCTAATTGACACAAATGATGTAGTTTAGGGCCATTTGTGGAAATTAGTCTTTTTTTTGTTTTGTTTGAGATGTAAGTTTTACCTGTGGATCTCTGTCTTTGCGCTTCTTTCTACCTTGTGTCTGTTACTTTTTACATTGCACGAAACAAAACAAAACTAACCAAAAAGGGAAAATATTCTATGTATCCAACCTTGTAGAACTTCGGAAGGATTAAAAATATTGTATTCTTGGATTGGGTTTGAAATTTGGTGATGGCAATTGGAGAAATATGTAGAGAATCTTTCGACAGGGAGATCCTAGAATGAGAAAGTAGAATGAGAAAGTAGCATATCAAGTAATTATCTTTATTAGGATTGGTTCAATGATTAAACCCCACTACGTCTTAAATTCAACACTTTTCATGTCTTCTAAGTACCAATCACCTTATTTCCTAGATTCAACATGTCTCATATCTTCTAAATATCAACCACTTTTATTTCTTAGGAAATAATGTTCTAAATCCGCTTGAACTAAGGTGACTAATATCCGAGTTCCATGGAATAATCAACATAAATCTGAACACCTTGTGGCAAAAAAAAAAAAAAACTTAAAATGGGTTTTTTTTTTTGAGGAAAGAAACGGAACAAAATATCTTAGACTAGCCAACTCCAAAATACAGACAAAACCTTGATCTCTGCCCAGGACATGAAAAGAAAAATCAAAAAAAACAAGCATTATGTAGGATGACCATAGAAGATCAAAGATCAAAAGAATTAGAAACACATGGCTGATAGTAGTAATACAATTCAACTGCAAATATTTTACACCACCTCTCATAGTCATCACTGGGGAAAAAACTAGACATTACTCTTCATGTTTCAGGACATCAACTAGCATAAACTCAAAATCGCAACCAAAGGGATATATACAACTATAACACTAAAAACTTCAAACGGCCAACCTCAAATGACATTCATTCTATAATTCTAAAAGAATATAAGCTTCACTCAAAGGCGTATAGTATATTCACAAAACTGCCTTGCCTCGTATGCATTTGACACTCCAATAAGTCGATCTCAAGAAGGCAATAATTTCTTGACACCAACCTTTTGTTCTGCAGTCAGCCTTGTTGGGAACTTGATGATGTGTTTGATTCTCAAGTTTCCCCTCTTTGATGGATTTTTGGAATTGGCATACCTTCACCCCGGACAACCTCCTCGTAATTTGGATGAATCACATTGTTGATTGGAATGGTTAAATTCCTGCCATCCAAGGTGGTAAGGCGGGCTGTGTAACCTGTCAATGCATCAGCCAGAGGTATCTTTTGTGTGACAACTAAGTCATTCCATCACGGGTAAACACGCTATGAGGTTTCTCATCGATGACAAAGACAAGATCGGAAGGAATAACATTTGGTTGCTCATTCCCTTTCTCTGGAAGGTGATCTTTGTACCTTTCTTCCACCCAGGCTTGACATTTATAGTCAGAATCTCCTCCACTGGCATGGTCTTACTGCACCAAA